CTGCTGAAGAGATGAGGGAAAACATCTTTAAACTTTTCTGAAAATTAAACATTTAATTCATTTCCTCCAAGCCAAAAGCAGGGATTCCATATGTATCCCTCCTAGATAGAAACAAGCAGACAGAAATACTCAAACCTCTAATCTCCACACTGATTAGAGTAAGGGAGAAGATAAAGGTAATAACAGGAATAGTACAAAGTGCATTCATTCACTCCAAATGAGACTGCAAATATAGTACTAGTTTTCTACCTTCAAACACTCCGTCTCCTAAGATCTCTTCTCAAATATAAACATGATGCTAAATTATTTCTGATATGATTAATACAGAATAAACACTTGTCCCTTCTTCATACCTTCATTTTCAAAATATCCATAAAAACTAAACATTACTTATTACTATAAGTAATATTTTATTCACTGAGATGAAAGCACTTGTATGTATATAACTTAGCATCTGAATATCAGACTATCCACATGGACATAAAACCATAATCACGTATCATATAAAACCCACAGCACGACTTTCATTTAGGCATATAGTGAAAATCAGCACAAGCCTGCAAGAACTGCTCTGTGAAAAGGCTGACAAACAAAAACTGAACAGAAACAACATGGACACAATATGCTTCCAGCCTTCTGAAAATAACCCAGTCATAGCTGGCTTGGCTTGGCCACAAAGTGGTGATATATTCCATACAGCTCAGTGATGTGTCTGAAACAAATACTTTCCCTAGAAAGCAGATTGAAATTGCTTACTTTTGTGTTTGGAACGAGGGGCAGAGTGCACCTCGGCAGTTACGGTTTTGAGAGATTTGGGAGGTTCTTTAGGACGCCAGTCTTCTTCCCACTCCTTTTTAAATTTCTCTTCCTCTGCTGTTATCCTATAGGGAAAAAAAAATGCAGCTAGGAATTGAGTGTATAAAAGCAACAGCATCAAGATAAGTTCATTATAATTATTTAGTGTGCAGTATGTTTGGGTTTTTTTCTCTTTAAAGCATAATAAACAGCCCCTTCCACCAAAACAAATTCCTTTCATCAATCTGTTTCATTTACTAAGCTACTGTGATAATTTGTAAAATATAATGTAACTAAGTACAATTTCTTATTTACTACTGGGACTCCTAAGGCCAGTTAGATCAACACCTGCACAGATTCTACGCCCAGAGTGATACACTGCAATACTGACTGTCACCTTAACTGAAGCCAAAAGCCATTTCCACCTAAGAATTTTTCATTTTTAGAACTGGGAAGTGTTTATTAGAAAAATAGTCGGTTTTAACTAAAATACCTACTGACAGAACATCTACTACATGCCTAAATCACATAACCCTGAAAAAGGGCAGAGTGACTTTATACAAAGAATTCCTGCAGAAAGGATTTTAAAAATGGAGCAAAAAGTCATCCTCACAAACTCTGAATAAAGAAAAGCATTATATTCTAATGAAACTGCCTGTCTGCAATTGCTTATTAAATCTAAACTTTACAATATGTAAATTACTACACTGCTAGCTTTCCTCCCTACACCAAGGAGACTGATAGTGACCTCACATGTTTGGGTTGTAATATGGAAAAGGTTAATAAGTGTCTGAGCAGCACTTGGAAATTATATGACATGCTAGACCTTACAATGAACAGCTCCCAAGGCAGCCTAATCATGAAAGTCCTCGCTGAGTAAGGATGCACTCAGATCAGGATACTGCAGATAGCAAGCATTCATTATACCAGACAGGCAATCTGGATTTGGAGAAAGGAATCATTCTTCACCCATGATGGTTTGCTTTTATAGCAGCTTTCCATGGCTACTAATTTCTCCAGCAGACCACAATAAAGAACAGGATGTTACCTATTCCCCAGGAATTAGAAAAGTAAAATGTGAAAGAATTGATCCATGTGCTGCAGTAGAGCCCACAGCAGGATTGTCAGATTATTCTCTTGTGGCAGCTGGGAATGTATTCCCTTCTGCACCTCAGAGATTGAGAAATCCCTGCACTTTTTCTATCAGAAAATGTTAGCTAATACAGGTACATGAAAAGTGACTTAAGTGAATTAATGTGAATTAAAAACTGTAGGACATAAAAGGTGCAAAGCTAAATACCTGCAGGTCAACTTTAGCTCTAAAAGGCTGCATCAAAATAGATATTGTGCAATTCACCCTATTTTTTCACACAATTTCTCAACGTCATTTAGAAGGACAATTAATTACTGTGATAACACCAACATGTTATACTGGTTAATAATTTATTCCCTTGCCTTGCAGCATTCTTTTTTTTTCTTTTTCTGTTAGAATTAAATCTAGTGGTTCAGTGACAACAGTGTAAACAAGTTCTGCGACACAGAACTCCCTTAAATCTTAAGTTTCTCTATACACATATAAGGTATTTTTACCATACACACCCAACTTCAATTTCACATTGAATGTATTAACCCCATAACCCTCATGTTTTCCAGGTGCTGATTTTCAGATCAGTTTTGTATTCCATAACTGTGGTGTGCTTACTCATATGCACTGGACCTTATATTTAGCTAAATGGAAATACATGCAGTTTTATTATAAAAGAATATGCAGAATGTTTTCAGCCAGATGTAATATTTAAGGACTTTTTCAGGTAGCCTATGTAGGTTTTTACTTACTGCTCTATTTCTCTGCGATATCTCTCTTCTTCCTCTGCAGCCTTCTGGGAAATCTCCAGTTTTCTTCTATTACAGGAGGAATTAGGACACAATGATAAAAATAGTATTTCCTGAGTAAGAACTTACACCAAGTGTGTCAGCATACAGTCAGTAAGAGATATAGACAGTAAATACCTATGCATTAGGGGAAAATGCTCCTTTTTACAAATCATCTTTACAACACCAAGAGTTCAATATACTATCATAGGAACCCTGAGGACATTCCTGACCACCTGGATAACAGCAGAATATCATCTGTTTAAGCCACTATCTCCTTCTGAGACAGCTCCATAGTGTGCTATTGTAAAGGTATAAAATTTGTAACTGCCCTGCTAAAAATGAAGGATGAGGGAATGGCATCAGGGAAATAACTAGTACCACAGTGAATCATAGGGGTATGACAGTCTGGGAACAAAGTGACCCTTCCACTCAAGGTATGTTTGAGCGGTACCAGCTTTGGAAATCCAGAACATCAAGAGCACCACAGGATAAAGGATTTATGAACAAAGACTCTGAAACAGCAATATTAAGTGAAAGCTAAGATGAGAAATCTCTCACAGTTGTTCCTGTCTTCCATGCCCTTTCCAAATACAAGCTAAATTTTTCAGTCCTACACAAAGTCCTTACAATCTCTCTTTCTCTTGCTGTTCTTTGATGATCTTGTTAGTCTCCAGCGCAAGTCGCTTCTGATGCATTAACTCCTGACGTTCTTGCTCACGGAGACGTGCTTCTCTCTGCCTTTCTTCTTCAGTCATGAACAGCTCTTTTCCCTGCAATCAGAACCACCACTCAAATCAGTTGTGAAGTGTCATGTGCGTAGTTCTAAGACATAACTCAAACCAGATTACATACTGGCACATCTGCCATTGCCCACACTACTTTTTCAGAGGAATGCTTTCTGAAAGACCCTGAAAGATCTGACCACTTCACTTCAAAGAGCTAGTCCGGTTTCAGTCTCAAAGCAATGACGTGCTGAGCACCTCAGAGGAGGCATGCAACTACTAAAGTCAGCAACAGTGTAAAGGCCATGCCAAAGACATGCTCAGTGTGTCGCCCAGAAGAAAACGCCATATTATACTTCCCTGATATCTAACTGAGCAATGCAGTACTAGAGAACAGCCCACTGAATGAATCCCAGTGTGGAAGACAGCTAGGCAGTTACTGCATTTTAATGCTCTTGTGCCTGGCTGCTGTGGAAATGTGCCATCACTCAGGGAACATACACAGCTAAAAGGTCACATAGTTGGTGTTTTTCAGTACTTCTCGTTCCCGTTATACTTCCCTGATATCTAACTGAGCAATGCAGTACTAGAGAACAGCCCACTGAATGAATCCCAGTGTGGAAGACAGCTAGGCAGTTACTGCATTTTAATGCTCTTGTGCCTGGCTGCTGTGGAAATGTGCCATCACTCAGGGAACATACACAGCTAAAAGGTCACATAGTTGGTGTTTTTCAGTACTTCTTGTTCCCGTTTCATTTGCTTTACAATTAAGACACCAACACTATTTTCTGTTCAAGATAGATATTTCCATGGTGCTATGTGGGACACTTTGATAACCTTTATCTAATTTTTACCACTGAAATTAAAATCCCATGTTAGGAAAGCAGAATTTTTCATTTCTCTAAGGCTCAAAGTAAACAGCCCAAACAAAAACCAGCAGTAAAGAATGCCTTTGCACCATGGTCTTTGCTAACTGGGAAACAGAAGTAGAGAAGCTGTTTCCTATTGCAAGTATTTCAATACAAAGAAGCATATTCATGGAACCTGGAGTGGAGCAGAAGAGTAACACAACAAAAATTCACCATTCTAAGGATGCAAATCCACTGGTACATGCTGGAGCAGATCCCATCCTTTCTAACACTGGCTAACATATCTGGGTCTTGAAACTAAGCCCGTATAACGGTTGATTTCCTGGAGCTTAATCAACTAGTCTGGAGCATTTGGTTACACAATGTATATGATGCTTTTGGGTGAGTGCATCTTTTGTTACTGTAAGAGTAGTTCAATTAAACCATTACTTCCTTAATATAGCTACAGACAGCATACCTGAACCCTTAGGAAGTAGCTTAAGAGATTTTTTTATATCTTGTTTTCCCTACTTAATTCAGTTGCAAGGCAATTAGAAAATACTATCTTTGATTAGGCTATGGAACTTGAGTATCCTCTCATATTTAACTATTAATTTTATTATAAGAAGTATTTAAGCAGTAAAACCATTAAAACATTTATTGAAGTCAGTGGGAATATTTGATTAATTTCAGCTGGCTCTAGATTAGGCCCCAGAGGTGTATAGTTCTGTTGTACTGAACAGTGGAAATGGAAAATTGAACAATTTTCAATGTGTTGATACACTAAAGAGATAAACAGTTACACAAAGAATTAATTCTGAAAAAGACTAATACATCAGCTATTCATGAGGAAAAATGAAGTGGCTCCAATCCAATTCACCTTTCATGTTTCAGCAGAAGCAGCTATCTAATAGAACAGAAGCTCTCAAACATGAGAAACCATTACAGTATCAGTAACTTCCATTCTTTATCAAGGGAACTGTTTTCCACTGGTCTAGTCATGAAATGCTTTTATTTGAGTGTACTGGGTTTGTGTAGCAAGATTTTGCTAGCAAGGGGGCTACCAGGATGGCTACTGTGAGAAGCTTCCTCTATGTTCGATAGAGCCAATGCTAGTCAGGTCCAAGACAGACGCACCACTGTCCAAGGCCGAGCCCAACAGCGATGGTGGAAGCACCTTTGGGAGAACATATTTAAGAAGGGGAAAAAAACAAAACTGAACAACTGCAGCCAAAGAGAGGAGTGAGAATATGTGGGAGAAACAACTCTGCAAACACCAAGGTCACTGAAGGAGGAAAGAGATGCTCCACGTGCAGGAGCAGAGACTCCCCGGCAGCCCGTGGTGCAGACCATGGTGAGGCTGGCTGTGACTCTGCAGCCCATGGGGAACCAGAGTGGAGCAGAGATCCACCTGAAGCTTAGGGATGACCCCATGCTGGACCAGGAGGATGGCCAAAGTAGGCAGTGACTCTGTGGGAAGCCTGTAGTGGCACAGCCTCCTGCCAAGACCTGTGGCCCCATGGAGAGAGGAGCCCAGGCTGGAGCAGGTTTGCTCACAGGACTTGTGGTCCTGTGGGGGACTCATGCTGGAGCAGGCTGCTCCTGAAGTACTGCACCCCATGGAAGGGACCCACAACGGAGCAGTTCGTGAAGAACTGTAGCCCATGGGAAGGACTCATGTTGGAGAAGTTGGTGGAGGACTGTCTCCCGTGTGAGGGACCCCACGCTGAAGGAGGGGAGGATTGTGAGAAATTCTCTTCCTCAGGAGGAAGGAGCAGCAGAAACATGTGATGAACTGATCACACCCCCCATTCCCCATCCCACTGCACCACTGGTGGAGAGGAGGTAGAGAAAATCAGGAGTGAAGTTGAGCTCAGGGAGAAGGGAGGGGTAAGCAGAAGGTGTTTTTAAGATTTGGTTTTATTTCTCATTTTCCTACTCTGATTTTATTGGTAATAAATTGAACTAATTTCTCCAAGTCAAGTCTGTTTTGACCATGACGGCGAGTTCTCTCTCCACGTCCTTATCTCAATTTATGAGCCTTTTCCCCTGCCCAGATGAGGAGGGGAGTGACAGAGCATCTTCGGTGGGTACCTGGTGTTCAGCCATGATGAACCCAGCACAGTGACAATACTGTGGATAGTTAGCAATGAAATAATCAAAAGCTACTCAACACTGCCCTGGTTTGGCAGAATTTAGTGGTATAGACATTATAATGAACACATGGCTTTACTCTTATCTATTTGCCTACATAGTAATTTTCAGAAACATTCTGCTTTTATAGAAATACTACTTACAGCGCCTGCTACCACAGAGATAGTCAAAGTACGACTACTTTTGAGCACTCTGACAGCCTGCAAATTAAAACAAAACAAAAATCAGTCTGAATTGAGTGATAAAAGACCTGTATATATAGAATGAAAGATACTGGTTGTCAAGGCTGGAATTTCCAGAAGACCTACCTGAACTGAACAGGGTAGTACGTGTACAAATCCCCAAATTCCCGTGCTCAATACACAACCTCTTTGGTTAAATAGCCCAATATCAAAACATAATTTTTCCAGCCAAGAAAATCAGGCAGATGCTTAAATAAGCTGACAACTATGTATTTGGGGATTTAGGAAGACTTTATCTTACCTCTTTATGATCCACATTAGAAAAGTCCACTCCATTTACCTCAACAATCTGATCACCGACCTAAAGGAGTTAATGCAAATTTTAATAGAGATGTTAGATTTGTAGAAATATTAAATGAAACCAGGAATAGACATACTCTTGTATTGGGTTTACTCTCTAACGTTCTTCATACAATCATCATAGGTACTGGCATACTACAAGGGGCTGGAAACTGGCCAGACCTGCACATCCTCCCATATTAGCATTTTCTATTGCCATTGAGCTCAATGGACTATTCGTCTGAGCCAGGAGGGCACTTCTCATGTTCTTAAAATTTAGGAAACTCACTTCATTTGAAATGTAACCACACAGTATTTCTTTCCCATGGAAAAAAAAAAACCCAAACCCACAGCTACTGACTTTACAGTGACCCAGAATCCTTGAAGCAGTAAATACCAAACAAGGTTTCCTTGTGGTACCTACCTTGGAAGGTGGCATACTTACCTCCAAGCCCACCTCTGCTGATAGAGAACCTGGCTTAACATTGCTGATAAAAATGCCTGGTTTTTGGGTTGGACCACTGGAAATACTGGTGTAAAATAAAAACCAAACTTTTATAGCATAATATTTATAGAATATTACAATGTCATACAGTGAGAAGTCTTAGTTGTTTTCTCATAACTTGTTTCTGACTAGAGGATGTTTTTATGGTATTAACCTACTCTGAAACAAACACCAAAATTTGCCAGTACGCACCCAATGGTTTATCATCCTACTTTTGTATCCTTTCCACCACAAAAATTTGATTTAAGAAAAAGCTAAAAGAAAAACATACAAGCTTCTGTTTTTTTCCTTTGATGTTGAAATTAACACAGTATACTAACCTGCACTGTCAAAGGAACTGGCACATTAATGACGTTGGAAAGCAAGCATTTAACACAATGAAGAATTATTAATTGCTTGCACTTTTACTCACTGAACTACAGTGTACTATATGTATAATACGATGTTATTTTTCAGGATTATTTATTAGAAGCAAGAAGGATTTTTCAACAAGGGGCCAACATCTAGCCAGGAAACTTTAAGCTGCAGTCTAAGCTGGTCCCAAACACAGCGATGATTTTTGTAGCTAATATATCCAGCAGATGATGTTGAATGACACCTCCAGGTCTTCAATAATTTTTTTTTAAACCTTTAGATCTTCTAAGTAATATGAAAGAAAACTTATGCTTTAGAAAGTATTCTGTGCAGTTCAGCTCTGATAACTTCAGCTATATATTCCTAAATATATTAGAAATCCTATAGTACCCCTTCTACCCCAATACCTTCATAACTAACTGCAAGGGCAAGAGTCTAAGAAGCATCTGTCCATATTTCTAAAAATCTTGCAAATTCAACATTATTTTTAGGAACTAGATATAGCTGTGTGATGGCTTCCCAGTTCTGAAATGGTAACAGAAAGCAGTGTAAGTTCAGGAAGTGAACCTGACACTGGACAGTGCTAGAACATGTTACCTCACAGAGCAGCATTTAGAAGTCCTAAAATGTAAAAGCATTTGAAAGACCCAATTCCATAACAACTTGTATTATGCCACTTTCAGCCTATTCTTACTTTTAAATGTTAACGATTTCTGGCGCGTTTTAAGTCAGATCTTGTAACACAGGTATTTATGCTTTGTCTAATGAAACAAAGTGTGACACAGAATCATAGAATCATAGAATTGGTTTGGTTGGAAAAGACCTTTAAGATGATCTAGTCCAACAGTCAACGCAGCACTGCCAAGTGCACCCTAAACCATGTCCTTAAGCACTACAACAACTCATCTCTTAAACACCTCCACCACTTCCCTGGGCAGCCTGTTCCAATGCCTGACCATCCTTTCAGTGAAGAAGTTCTTCCTAACATCTGATCTGAACTTCCCCGGTGCAACTTGAGGCCATTTCCTCCTCTCTTATCACTTGTAACTTGAGGAAAGACCAGCACCCATCTCTCTACAACCTCCTCCTGTTCCAGCTTGCCTTCCTGATCCAGCATGCATCTCCATTTTTCTCATATCATATCAATGAAGGATGGAAGTAACTGCCTTGGATGTCTCACTGAACAAAGCAATGACATTATATAAGAAACACATACCCACCTGCATCCCATGCCTTTTGTACCAATCAAGCTAATGAAGACTTTCTTCTCTTTATTCTGCTTCCCTCCAGTAGAAGCAAGACCAGCAACACTGCCCTTTCCTTCCTGTAGAGGGATTAAAAAATTCTGCAGATGTTACTCCGTGCTGAAGTCTTACAATTTTCATGAAGCCAGAATCAAACCCTGCCAACATCAAGATAAGAGTCCTGCAAGGTTCAATTGGAGATGAATGTGAAGTATAGTCATTTCAGTGGAGCTGCAGGGCTGAGATGAAAGACTGGGCTTATCTTTTTATTTGTTGAAGATTGTTTAAATAGTCAAACTTAGTCTTCAAAAAAGGGTGAAGGAAAATTAGGGGAAAGTGATACAGCAAAATAATCATTTAGATGTTCCCTGACAAAAGAGATGGAAAAATAGATGACAGTGCTCACTATTTAACTAAGTCTCTCTTCATGACAGCGAAAGAATGGTCATTGTGGTCTCTTTTCATTGCTGCAACCCACAGGGGTCACTTCCATTTATACCTGTCATTCCTCCACTAATATAGCTAAAATAGGCCAAACGATCTGTTAAAGATTTATGCAGTAAAACTATAGCCTGGTAAGTTAATAAGCTCAAGCAAAATAAAGTACCAATTAATGAGTAAAAGTGATTTCATTTGTATCCTGCTCTTTCCTTATCTAATGATTCTAGAACCATTTCAAAGCACAAAAGATGTTTCCCCAAGAACACTTGTAACAAGATATTGCATCACAGAAATACATACAGGAACTTCTGTGATAAGGTCAGAAGAGAAAGTGTTTCAGAACTGTTACAGATTTCCCAGAAGATATCTTAATAAAATATTGATCTCTTACCCCAGAGTCTGACACAAACTGGTCCACATATTGCCATTTAAGGGGTTCATCTGCTGAACTGGAAGGAAAAAGTAATTTAAAATAATGGGGACAAAATAAATGTGAATGTATTCAAGAAGCTACTTTGGAATGTGGCTTGCTATTTTGCATCCACGAGTTCCTTTGGATACCATTCACAGCAACTGGTTTATTTTCCAGCAATTTAAACAGAACATCAAACAAGCATGCAACTATTTAGGCTATTAAAGCTGGTCAAACATAAAACAGAAAACCTCTTCAAATGAAACAATTTTGGGAAACTCCAACAAAGGCACTGAAAATAATCATAACTTGAACAGTTTGTATAAATGTCTATGCAAACACAAACCTCCCATCATTAACATGTCTCGAACATTCCACTTAAAGTTCCAACTTTTCAACAAGAATTGGAAGAGGACAATAATTTGGAATTTTTCAAAGCTCTGAAGTAATCCTCATGTGTTACATACTCAGAGCAGCAGTGAAGCTCTCTGTTAAGCTAAGTGCACTGACAATGAAATTTCCAGGTAATATGCATGAATAATAAAGAAACTGAAATTCAATTCAGTTGGCACCTGGCATTAAAAAGTCAGGTTCATCAAACAAGACATCTACTGTTTATCACAAAAGTTGTGACATTTTAATCAGCTACAGAGAAGCCCATTCACACATATTCAAATATAGAGATAAACAGAGATACTTTGGATATTGAAGAGGCTAAGTGAAAAATGAAGTCTAAATTGTTTCAAATTAAACACCATTACCTTTTGACAGGTATCATGCCAATATCTGAAAAAGAAAAATACTCTCTTAAGTAACACTTTCTACAGATCACTAGCAATCTATTAACAGCAATCTTTAGTGATACAGGTGATTGTTACTTACGTCTTACTTTTATGGACACTATTTTCTTTGTACGAATGAGGTTTATGACTTCTTCATGTGTGCAAGATGAAATGGAATATCCATTTATACGAACTATTTCGTCTCCAACCTCAGAAATGAAAGGGAGAAGAAAAAATAGATTGTGAATTAGCATTAAAAAGGTTTTAAGCAATGATGCAATTGGGCAATCAAGGTTTCATAATGTTCAGTCCTGGAATGCTCAATGGTACAGACCAAAGGCCATGCTGGGGACTACACAAACATCCATCAGCGATGAAATGACAGCACCCCAAGAATATCTCCTGACAGTGTCCACCATGTAGAAGAGACAGGGTGCCATAAGATTTGTGCGGGTTTCAGGCAGGAAAGAGTTAATTTTCTCCACAGTTCGGATGGCTGGCCCAGACTGTGACCATGACTGTGTTCCCCAGCCCCTAACCAGTGGGGCCGCTGCTCCACCCACTGGACAGCCAAACATCGCAGCCGGGGCAATGGCCTGCACACAAGCTGCAGCGCTCCCAAGTGCCTGACTGCTTCCATCTAAATCAGTCAGATTTTTAATGCGGTCTTTAGTAAGAGCAGAAATAGGTCAGTACTGAAGGCTTCTGAACATGCAACCTGGGGTAAAAATGCAGAATCAGACAAGGACAGCACATAGAGACTCAATACCCTCTACAAACCAAAAAGACTCTCAGCCTGTTCAAGATCCTGCTGGTTATTGTAGAAAATGGTAGGAAAGCAAGTGACTTATGCTTTCCAAAGGAAGGTTGAGCTCCATTCCCACCTCCGGTGTCTCCCTGGATTACTCAGTTCCAAAAATACCACAGGTTTGTGTGTAACTGTTCAACCTCAAGTATGAGATGCTGACCTCATTGATCTACCTAGACTTATCCACTGATCTTATGTATTTAGTGGTAATGGGCTTATGGGTTGGTTTTTTTTGGGGTAGTGGGTTTTTTTGACTGGTTGGGATTTTTTTGGTTGTTGCTGGGGTTTTTTGGGGGTTTTTTTTTTGGTTTTTTTTGGGGGGGGGGCGGTGTTTGTTTTTTTTAGTTCAAGATCCCTCCTTTACTCACATCTTTTGCTTCATGCAGGCTATAGCAGACCACAGAGCCTGGGTTTACACAAACACAGCTTTACAAAAGGGTAACCTAACCTACTGTTATTAACTGCAATGCCATAACACACAGAAGCATCCCAGTTTTAGGACTGTAAATGGCAGCGTTGTTTGAGTCTCCATATAGCCTCTGTAGCATCAGAACTAGTGATGCTCTGAGGATGTCATCGTTTACTAAGCAAGTGATACCACAGAATCACAGAATGGTTTGGGTTGGAAGAGGCCTTAAAGATCACCTAGTTCCAATCACCCTGACATGGGCAGGGACACCTTTCACTAGACCTGGTGGTTCAAAGCCTCATCCAAGCTAGCCTTGAACACTTCCAGGGATGGGGCATTCACAGCTTCTCTGGGCAACCTGTTCCAGTGTTTCACCACCCTCTCTGGGAAGAACTTCCTCATGTCCCATCTAAGTCAACTCTCTTTCAATTTAAACCCATTATCCTGTGTCTTGTCACTACATGCCCTTGTAAAATGGGCATATCTGTTAGTAAATACTATCATCTCCCTAAAAGGCAGACACATACAAAGTTATAAATGCAGCCAACAGGATCTTTTATTTTTTCCTGCCATGTGAGAATGAGCTTTTCCCATATAGAGATTTTTATTACTCCTCTTTGCTGAGCTTCTGTAATGATATGAAAAGGCAATCTAATACTCTTCACTCATCCTAACGACTTTTCTGTTACTGACAAGGTATGACTGACGGTGTTTTAGAAATACGTCAGTCTAGGCTGAACTACAGGACATAGGCACGTAACAAACTGCTGCTCATTAGGACACTTGAACAGCTTTTCCTGCAAGAAGTGTCCATACATTGAAGTAATTAATAGTTGTTTTCATATAATTAGTTACTTTTTTAGTGGTATCACTATATACCAACCTTCTGAATCAGAAGCAGTAGAGATAAAAGTATGCAGGATTGAGTAGAACAGTAACAATTATTTTGTTATTATTTATCACCGTTTCCCCTTTTCCTAACAAACAGGCCTATGACAGACTTTCAAAAGAAATACTGCAAACTTAAACTTTGCCAAGTAAAACACCCATTATTTGTAACTTTTAACATAAGAAATATAATACTTAGTGCTTCCAAGAAATTGAAGAGATTTTACAGAATAACATCACTGTTTCGAATTTCTCATTTTGTATACTTCCACTTTCATCACTCATACCACTCTCCATCTCTCTGTATTTGGCAGAATCCCCACAGACATAAGTATCAGAAAGCGAAGGAAAAAAGATGACGTATTTTTTTTGTGAAAGGACAAAATACTTGCCTTTTAAAGAAACTGTAGTTAAAAAAGACTACTAATGCCTCAGTGACCGTTCATGATTATTCTGTCATTTTAATGTAACTTGGAGGGGAAATCATGCAAAAATTAATTTGATTTTTTTAAGAAAGCAGCAGGATGTAAAACTGATAGTATAACAGAAGATCATTATACCTTTCTCAGAGAGCATTTTTGAGATAGAAAATGTGTAGAGATTTAGTTAAATAAAGCAGGTAGGTGAAATTTCAGAAGCAGTTGGCTTTACTGAGAGACTGCAATTTAGAACAATGGTCTGCCTGTCAGCTCTTGTTATTCAGTGGGGTTCAGAAAGTGCCCAGTGTCACCGATTATGAAGGCACTTTAGGCTGAGCTTTAATACCACATATCAAAAAAACCAAGTCAGACAGTTATGTGAACTGCGAAGCACCATCTGTTCATACCAATACATATAATCTAACAAACACATAGTCAGTCTCAAGCATATTTCCCCCTTATTGTTCCTACTGTGTCTGTCAAACTCTAACTGCATGCTGAGTTGCAGTACGATTTGTACAATCCAGCCCAAAGATCCTTTACAATCCCATCCACTGTCACCAATGTGTAGTATGATGGCCTCAGTCACAGAAAGCCAGCTGGGCCTTTTTGCATACTGAGAAAAAAATGAAAATTGACATCCTTACAGTAGCACAACAACTGAGCACAACCCCTTATCTATCGATCAAGTCAAAACACTGGTCTGAAACAAGCAGAGGTGCAACACAGCATGAAGATGAATATACTAGCGTGACAATTTAAGACAGGGGCTATTAAGTCCTTTATCGCTCAGCATCATTAATGTCTTCCTGTATTTTTCCAGGAGATGTTTCCAAAAGCCATGTAAGTGACTGGTCTGTCTTTTTCTCAGTTTTATAGCAGTGGATGAAGGATGCAGTTGGAATCCCTCTACTGAGCTGATCACAACCCAGGAACAACTCTTTTGTCTACACTTCCCATTCTCACTGTGTAATGTAGTACACGAGGTACACAAGCTTTTGGAATGCAAGCTCCAGGAAGGTGCATCAATGCCCTCTTCTGGAGTTACCCACTGGCAAATCCCGTGCTTAGAAGTAGGCTACCGACGCATCCAGCACAGTGCTTGTGGTGTCCTAAGCCACCCTCCTGATTTTAAGTAAATACAGAATTGGTGGGGTTGCACTCCCTGAATTTGTGCGTTTGTTTTAAGAAAAAGCTTCTAAAATCATTCAAGGAGGCTGGCCATGTGCCTGTCCTGGGACTAATTCAATGGTGATTCTGAACTAGTGAATGGGATATATAGGTATGAATGCACAAACAAAAGGACACACACACACGTATGCATACATACATTTTAGAAAGCTGTCAGCATGAATTATACAAACAAGTTACCCTACCTTTGACAGTTTTGTTGACAGCTTTTTTTTTTTTTTAATCTAAGGTAGTTATGGGGTTACACTGAAGCTTATCTACAAAGCACACTGGTTTCATTAAACACTGTCATGAACCATGCCAGTCTAATCCATTTTGGACTAGTATTCAAAGATTATCTTTGAACATCAGTACTTCCAGTAACTATCCACACTCAACAAATGGAAGTTAGCCAGCCATACCAGCCTTCCTACTGAGAAACATGGACCATGTTTCTCATGTTAACAGGTTAAGGTGTTAAGACAGAAAGATAAAGTCATTTGCCATAGCAATTGCTCACTTCTCTTTTCACTAAGATGTATGCAGGCAAGAAATGACACACTCAAAAAACCCAAACACCTAAAACTTCATTAATGTGAATTGCATAAGTACTGATCTAGAAAAAAATCTGTTTCTACACACAATTATTATCTTGTTACAGTTAATCTATCTAAAATCTAATCACTGAAAGCACGATTCTGTGCAATACGGAGAACAGTGGAAACGGTTAAAAATAGGTCCTTTCTTTTATGTACTTCCACTGCATAAACCAAAACCCCCAAAATTAATACAGCAAGTTCAAATAAACACTTTATTAATCAGATTATATCTGTGCAAGATGGAATTAACATTTTCAGTATTTATATGCTCTGATACTTAATCAGAATTTGGCAACTTGAAACAGTCTTCCTTAGTCTAATTAGAGATCTTACTTTCATGTGCTTACATTTAACTGTTGCTACTCATGAAGTAGCACTTCTTCAGCATAAACACTGCAGAAAGCCCATCTCTGAAAAATATCATTCTATGAATTTTGTAACAGGAGACAAAGAGCACCTTAGCAATAGCTATTTCTAAATATTAAAGAACAATTCTTACTGCCTGCTTCCCTAACATTGTAGCAAAAGGCTCTGCAGCACAGCAGTCAAACGGAATTTTCTTACCTGAAGTCCAACAGTGTCTGCCTGTCCTCCTTTAACTAACTGAGAGATGAAGAGGCCACAATTGAATTCCACTCCACCTCTCACACTTATTCCAAGGCCTTCAGGATGTAAACGATCCAATCTCACCTCTTTCAGCTTTCTGCAAAAATGGAAGATACATGACTGTTCAGCTCAGCTGTATAGTACTTCACGGTAATAATGTTTTGTATGCAAGCTACACATTTCCTCTTACAACATTGAGGCATGAAAAAAAGCAAATTGAATCTGGATGGATGTGTGTTAGCTAAAGCCATCAAGTATTTCTCATTAGAAAAGATATGTGTAACCATTGAAACTCTCTGCTTCTAGAGGGTCAGAGCTATAAGAATTTATTATTAAATACAGAAAAAATAATAAAAGATTGTTTCAACTGGAAAGAATTGGTTTTGACCCCCTTACCCTACGTTTAGTAGATTAAACCACTCGGCAAACAATTTTACGTAGCTCAAAACTGTACTTACAGCAAATAGAGCAGAAGTAAAAAAATTATGCCTGGCTCTACACAGGTGACCAGTATTTTACTCTGAATTTATCTGAAAACTCAGTATTTCCTGCTTGTATTTGTCAGCTGTGTTGTTCTGCATTCTCTTACCGTGATCTTTTGGGTGTAAGCTGATCATATTCCACCTGGTGTTTTAATGGGATAAGTGGGCGGATAGCATCAAATAGAGGCAATCTGCTTGGTTCGTTAATCACGAGTTTTAGGTCCCCCACAAGCACTGGGAGATTCATAGATCTATGAGAACACAGAGAGAAAACAGGCACAGGTAGTCAACACACTGATACAAAGCATCACGTGGCTTCAAAATTTGCATGTCTCTTCTACCTACTAAAAAAGTTCTTTATGTAGATATCGGTTTAACCGAAGCAAAACAGCCTGTGAGAAAGTAAGCCTTCTGTAAGCAGAGAGGAGTAACAACTACCTCATTCAAAACAATTGAAATCTCCTATATATTGCCTTTAGCATTTAAGGTCATGCATATCACTTGTATAGACGACATCTTTAATTTCAGAGTCCCCACAAGATTTAGGGAACCAATTGGAAATAACTTTCCAGATCAGTTATACTAGATTCTTTTTCCTTATTAGTTAGCAATCCAATCAAGGGAATCTAGGCTACAAGCTCCTTCCTCTCCTGAACTTAGGGGACTGACAATTTTTTTTGACTGGGGGGGGAGGGGGGAAAAAATCACAATACTCAGTAGCTAGAGCAAAGACTTGGCTTAAATTTTAATATGTTTTCAAAGCAAAATCAAAGTGTCATCAACCAATAAACAAAAGACACAGAAGTTAAACTGCTGTTAACATGTGTTTTATGAGAGCTATGCAAAGTATTGTCCTTGATATTGTCAGCACTGAGATAGTTAGAGATCTAGAAAGCGTACCTCACTGCATAGCTGCAAGAGTGGAGTAAAAGCTCCCCAAGATTCAGTGGAGCTATTACACAACATCCAGTTAAACTTAGTCTATATTATTTGCTGTTCACTCTCTTGTGATTTACTTTTCCTGGCATACAATATTTCAGATCAGGAATGCATATTACATGGGATTAGAGGTCAAATACTTTTGGAAATGCTATTCACAGTTAAGCAGACATTAAATGTTAACTCCAACAGCAATTGCACGTATTTTTGCCCTGGAATACTTCATTATGTATTCAAAAAAGTGATATATCATCAACATATGTTCACAGTGATACTGGAAATTTTGCTCAAGTCATTGCAATTTCAGAAATTGAGGAAAAGTTACTATGTTCATTGTTAATTTTCTAACTGGAAGAAGATTTTAAATAATTAAGAGCTAGTGAATCAACTGGCTTTCCAAACAACAGGCTTTATGAATGGAGAAGCAATTAGACAGACCTGAGTGAAACTAAATCAGATATGCAGCTGAATACACCCATAACTATAGCTCAGTGCAAACATCAGATGGAAACATCTACATTTCACTCAGCTAAGATGCTATTAATTAGGATATGAATGGAAACAATGTCTATCTGAGCCACTTGTCTATGATGAGTGGAAAGTGCATTCTCATTTTCTTTGAAAAACAATGGCTCAGACGCTGATCTAGCTTGCAATGATACAGGTCCTAAGCAACTGTGGTTTAAATCAGTTCAGCAAAAGGACTGGTAACAGGCCTATCACCTTACAAATTTTTTTCCCATTATGTTGTAATAAGCCACAGTTGTTAAACATGCCAAACAGATTTCCAGACTAATTTTTTTCAGCTTTCAGATAAAACATTTGTACATTTTTATCTCAATAGTTAGCAAAAGTCTTTGAAAAGCGAACTCAATGAAAACATCGGTTGCAAATAAATAAGCATTATTTGGAAATATTAACGAATTTGATTAACGCTCTCTTCCTGTTTCTTATGAACAGTTTTATCAACTAAGTGCTTCCCCCTCCAATACAAATCCACTGTAGTCTTTTACAAAACTTCCAAGTCATAAACCAAAGAAAATCTATGAGTGACTACAGATATGCTACTTCCTTGCCTACAGGCTACACCGTGAAAGTATAAAACTTCATTAATCAGAATAAAAATTATTACTTCAACTACTTTTCTAATAGGATATAGGACGACTTAAAATATTGAGTATTCACTCTTTACACTTAAAAAATTAGTAAAATTCCAAACAAACATATGTAAAGGTAGATCTTACTGGTGGTACATCCGCAGCACATCGTAAAGGTAATCCTTCTCCGCTTCATTGTCGATGAGTAGATTAACCTGAAAACCCAAGGACGTTATTGTGTATCTCTGACTAAACAGCCACAAATGTTGAATATGCAAGACTTTGACTAATTCTTAAGCCACAGAACAAAGATTTTTTTTTTTCTGGGTTTTTTAAATTATAAATACATTTTTGCAATAGAGTATTAACTCACAATGTGAAACCTCTAACAAGACTTTCTAAAATTAGTATTACAACATTTGGACAAGGTGGTAAATACTGATATACTCTGTATGACAGATTTGCCCTCCACAGTAATATTATTACAATAATACCGTATTTGCCTTACCTGATAATCACTGTACTGTTGAATAAATGTTTTCAGAAATCTCTTTGGCCATTCATTAATATAGCACATGTTGTCACAGATGAAAACAACAGTGAGATGATTATAATCTACGTTCTGTCGTCCAAACCACTGATTTCAGGATCTCACTTCTAACATTATGCAAACTGCTACACTTCTGTTCCTCTCTGCTCCAGCTTTTAACTGACAGAACTTGCTAGTTATTCCTTCCTCCCCCACTAATAGTACATTTACTTAAACCAGTGTCATATTACTATGCCTGCTCTTGGATAATGACAGCAACATAAAGAAAAGAAACAACCAAACAAGAATTCTCATTTGATGAGTTCTATTTATATTCAGTGACAATGAGACCCCCACTGATCTTAATTGCAGTGAGAGGTCACATCACATTAGTTTCACATTTAGACAAGCTTAATGTTTAGGAAAACAGTTTACATCTGACCTAAAGGCTAATATTACTGTAACATGAAGTCTGAAGACCAATTTGCATACTTAAAGAAAGGCCCTTTCTTTCCAGGTTTGCATTATATTCTAAACTAAATACATGCTTCATATTCCCTTTGTCCATTTTGGCTCTTTAAACCAGAAAGACTCTACACACAGGTGGTTTTCTATTACTTGTCTCCTCTGGAAAAAGGCACTTTCAAAGCACCTAAAGGCCAAAAAGCTACATGCAAAGCATGATTGCTTGACAGTAACAGTAGTGAGTAAACCAAATCATTACCAGTGAATTTCAAAACACAGGAAAAAAGTCTGCCTTAAAAAGAAAGAAAAATGTTTGTAATCAAAACCAACCGGTTCATCAATACTGCACACAGACTCACAACAAGGTGATACATGCAGAATTAAGTCAGCACCCATTTCTCCCTTCCCCATCAGGAAAAATACAAATGTAAATCAGCTTTGGTCCTCATAGAAAGAACTCAACTTCTTGTGCTGGCCAAGGTACTGTATGAGTGGTGCCTCACAAAGAACATCAAATGTTTTAAGCACATCAACCCTACACAGCAAAGAACAAACCCATCATCATCTCTTCTCCTGACTGGGAAAACAACCAGTAACGCCATTACATTTTTCTTCTGATATGCTAGCTGAGGGGCACATCCCCACTCCCTCTCAGGAACCAGTGAATTCTACCATTTCTTCTCACACAACACTCAGTCTTTCTGTTCGACTCCTGCACTTCTCACTCTGCACCAGCAACTTCGTTATCCTCTGATAAAAATAATCACCCAAGTGACTTCCTATATATTCAGAATATTACAGCTAGGTTAATCTTCAGATGTCACTTCCAACCTTCAACCTTTCTGGGATTACTTAAGGGTATCCTCATAGTAGTTGTGTAATTTACATAGTAGTTGTATAATTTACACCCTCGAACACAAATAAAGAGTTCCTTATGCTGTTTCTCACTAATTTGCACTGTTTTTGTAGAAATAAGGATGCATCACAAAAACTGCATCTACATTCAAAAGAAAAATAAAATCCAGCAACAAGTCTCTAGTTTTTTTCAGCCGAACAGAAGTTGTGGGGGGAAAAGCACTTCTGGTGTGGAAAAAGTTCAGACTACAAGTAATGCACTACTGCAGCACTAGTCCAATCTGTCAGCTTTCAAAGAATAATATAAAGTTCTAATTAAGCTACACAGCCTTTGAAAAACTATTGAGGAAAATGGAAGAACAGGCCAATACATTTGCTTATGTTATATATTTTGCATTATTGCTTGGTTGATAGGGAAGACTGATTAAAATTACTAAGAAAAAAAATAATATGAAAGTGGCAAATCACTGATGAAACTCAGATCCTCTGGCTGAGCATTTTCACTACTTTGACACAGAAAAAGTAAGTATCCAAGACATGAAAATTGCCAGAGGCCACTAGAAGCAGGACAACAAAATAATTAAAAGACCTGTTCCAGTATCTCTAGCTCAAACAAAGTTCTCACTCAGACATGCATCCAACTTATTTTCACCAACAAATGATTACAAGTCTTGCTTTATGGGGGCGGGACTAGACTGATTTATGAATTATAGCAGCAATTAAAGCGAAAAGGTTTAAAGTTCAAGACAGTAACCATCCACCTAGGAACCAGAGTCTTTACAGATACTTTGCACAACTCACTGTTACACAGTAATAGGTAGCAGGACAGAAATAACCTGCTAGATAGATGTAGTCATCATTATGAATTATCCAGATCCTTCTTTCTGAACTTCAGTTTGTCATATACGTGAGTTTTGTAGCCCCTCCACTCCTAACAATTCTTTAGTTAATGGCTTTTTTAACAGGTGATACTTCTATAAAACACAACATTACACTACTTCAAAGAAATTCCATTCCCTAGCTGACCAAAAACCAGAACAAAACAACCAAACAAACCACAGCCTCCTCCAGAAAACAAACCCCCAAACCACAACACCACAGAACAGTACTGAAACCTTTAGTTTGAGAGTCCTAAATGGCTATGCAAAAGAACTTCTTAAACGTGTAAACCGTTTTCCCCCTCTTCTCCTTAAATAGAGCTTTCTGAGCTTACTTCGCGCATACAATTCCGAGACCTGCTGAGCACTCGCTAACAAGGTCAAAGTCAACACGCCGTGCCGGGCAGACCCAGTCGCGCCGTGTATCAAGTGCATTTGCACATGACTGCACGCGCACGACTGCACTGGTGAAGGTTAAGGTGTAGATCCGCAGCCTATCAGCACCGGCGTGCAGCGCGCAGGCGGTAAACGTGAACTGCACCTGCACTCTTGCCTTCCCCGAGCGTAACTGCGTGCCATGTTTTCCATGATATTAAAACAAAGTAAATTGTATGAAACCCTGAAAAAGCTCGTGTATCGAGGAACGTGCTTCCTCTTCCCTCCCTCGTCAAGGGCTTTCAGTTTTACGGCCACTCTCTCACAGGTGGCAGCTCTCAACCACGGGCAGCGCGCCCCAGGGCCCCGCGGCGCCAGGAGCCGTGCCCAGCCCGGCGCTTCGC